TTACTGTTACATGAGAAACTATCTGTTCTGTAAGCCTTCACCTGAAGTACAATAAAATATTTAAAAAAAAAAAAACATACACATGAGGCAGTGGTGGTTCAGCGGTAAAACTCTCATCTTCCATGCGGGAGATTTGGGTTCGATTCCCAGCCCACGCACCTCAGGTACAATCACCACTCACCTGTCAGTGGAGGCTTGCGTGATGGTTTGATGCTGAACAGGTTCCAGGGAAGCTTCCAGACTAAAACAAACTAGGAAGAAAAGCCTATGAAAATCAGCCAATGAAAACTCTAAGGATCACTAGGTCCCCAAGAGATCTTGGGAATGGAGCCGGACCAGGTATTCAGCGTTTCCTTCCAGCCCATTGTACACTGGGTCGCCATGAGTAAGGCCTCTCCAAGGCAGCTAACAAGAACATACACCTGTGTGGTGGGCTTCAGGTCTTGGTTCTTAAATATGTTCAGGCGTCTGCCTAAGTCCTTTGACTCCAGCCTCTTCATAAATCCCCCTCATGGTGGCACCACCAGGCTCTTTGTCTGGCTCCATCCTCCAGCTGGGCAATCCACTGGTCTGGACGCGACTGCTACTCACCAACACACCTGGTCCTCCCGCTAGCTCTGGCCGCCGCCGCGTCCTGAGGAGTGAGGTCGAGGGTGAGTCGAGGTCACTGGGGTGCTCTGCGGGCCGGGGAGGCGAGGAGCGGCGCGGGGAGGTGCGGGGGCCGGCTCTGGTGCCAGGTGGAGGTTCTGCCTTAGGCTGGCGTCCGCTGCTCTCGGTGCAGCCCGGTCCTTGGCCCAGACGGCGGGAAGACTGCCGGTCCCGGGAGCGGGCTGCGCGCGCACTCGGGCCCACTGGACATAAGCGCCGCTTGGGCTGTCGGGATTCAGTTGTTCTGTTTCGTTGTTAGTCGTTCTGTGTCATATTATTTTTCATACATATGTGCTTTCTCCCTTTCTCTTAATTAATATAATGTTTGTTAAATATTTTTAAAAATACAATATTTTAATTTGTTAGGGCTTCTTTATACTGTACACCATTCCCTTTTGTCTTTATAGTATTTAATATTTTCTTCCTTGTACTTTTGGTTTGCTTTGTGGTACTTTTTTCTCGCTTTTTGGGTTGGAAGTAAATTTATTATTTTCATTTTTTGTTTACTATTAGTTAAAATATTTAAGGTACGGTTTTTTTAAATCTTTTTTTTAAAAAAATCATAACTTCCCATCTGTAGTGTTTTCATCTTGATTATTTTTACGTGTTCTCTCATTTGAGTTGGTTTTTCTCAATTCAGTCAAGAGATACTTGCTACGTAGTTGTTTTTCTTTTTTTTTTAATTTTGTTAATCGTACTTTAAAGTATTATCAGAAGCTGTTCATTGTAATATTTCTATATCACGGAAATTTCTGATTTTTCTTTGTAACTTAATATATGATTGGTTTTTTGTGTGTGAATTTTCCACGTGTGTTTAATAGGAAAGCAAATTTTGTAATACCAAAAAATCCAAACCAAGCTCATTGCAGTGAAGTTTTAATCCCGACTCACAGCGACCCTATAGGACAGAGTAGAACTGCCCCATAGGGGTTCCAAGGCTGTAACCTCTCAGATCTTTCTCCCACAGATGGCTGGTGGATTTGAAACTTTCGGTTAGCAGCTGAGCGCTTAACCACTGTGCCACCAGGGCCCAAATTCTATAATAGCAGTTAGTAAAGTTCAATAAGTATCCGTAAGATCTACATTACCTATTATGTTTTAAGCTCTTCTGTATCCTTATTCACATTTGTCCAACTGATGTGCCTTACTTTGAGAGGGGTGTGAAGAAGTCTACTATTATTATTGTATTTCTATCTTTGTTTTCTTTCTTATTTTTTTGCCTTCTCGAAGTAGTGGGTGAGTTATTTTGTGCATAGATGCTCGTAACCAATAAATCTTCATTGTGAATTTTGTGGTTACTATTAACAGGGTCCTTCCTTTTCATGTTTAATTTACTTTGGCCCGAATTCTACCTCAACTGACACAAAGATTGAATACTCTCTTTTCTTATTATTTTCATTAATCCAGTATACCTTTGCTGATAGTGTTGCTGATGCCTTCTGAATCACTTTAGGTGTGTCTCTTGTATACAGCAATAGAGTTGAGTTTTGCCTTGAGAGTGAAAGTAAAAAATACTTTCCTGAGTTAAGCTAATTTGATTTATTGATATGACTGTCTTGTATTAAGTTGTATTTGTTATTCCTCTCTCTATATTTTACTGCTTATTCTTTTTTTTTTTATTGCTTTTGGTATGGAAGAAGTTTAATATTTATTTTAATGATTACCTTTATACTTATTCTTTTAGATACCATTTAGAACATGGTATTTTATTTAACCTTTTTAACATTGGAATTGACGAAATTTTACAGCATCCTTTAAATCTCACCTGTTGTGTCTACAATAATCAATGAACTCATTTCTTCTCTCTTCCTTCTCCTATCTTTTATGAGCATTATTTCTTCATTGGGAGGATACATAATAGTGTTCCACCTTCTTTTTAGTTTAATTTAGTAAATGTTCATCATCTGCCTCTTTGTTGTGTTTTCCCAGCCGTTGCTTGTTTAGATGAGGCTCAGCATTTAGTGGATTACTCATGAAGCACTGAGGGGTACAAAATTCCATGAAGTGAAAACTCTTTCTGTATGAATACTATCCTTGAGAGAGAGCATGGTTGAATGTAAAATTATTGGTTCATATTTTCTTCTTTTTGAGCTAAAAAAAAAAAACTGTACTATTGCCTTGCCTTGTTATTGTTTTTGAAAAGACTGAGGACAGTCTAATACTCTCATCCTTGTTCTTTAGTTGCTCTTTTTGCCTAAAGACCCAGTGGATTTATTAAGTTTTAAGTCTAAGATATGTCTTAGGTTTGGCGATTGTGGTAGGCAGCCTCTAAAATGGATTCCAGGGAATCTTTCTACTAGTATTTTCACCCTTGATTATTTCTCTCTCCTTGATTGTGTGTGAATCTAGTTTCTTACTTCTTAGGATAAAAACAAACAAACTTCAAAATTGATGGTATATCATTTTCCAGATTAAGTTACAAAAAGAGGGCAACTTCCCTCTTTTTTTTTCTTTCTCTTTCTCCCTGAACCCTGCTCTGGGGAAAGCAATCTGCCAAGTTATGAATGGCTCAGTGAAGAACCCAAATGACAAGGAAGCGATGCCTATGGCTATCAGTCAGTGATGACCTGATGTTACTTGAGTGAGCTTGGATGGGGAGCTATCCCCACTTAAATCTTGAGTTGACCACAGTCTCAGACAACACCTTTATTGCAGCCTTTTAAATCACCCTAAGCAAGCTTCCAACTAAGACATGCCCAGATTCCTGAACCACCAAATCTCTGAGAAAACAAAAGTTTGATGTTTTAAGCTGCTAATTTTTGGAGTAATTTCTTACAGAGCAATACATAACTAATGCAAATTTTGGGTCCTAGAAGTGTTGTGCTGCTATAAAAACTACCTAAAAAGGTGACCAAAAAAAAGAAAAGAAAACCCACTGTCGTTGAGTCAATTATGACTCATAGTGACCCTATAGGATGGAGTAGAACTGCCCCATAGGGTTTCCAAGGAGCGCCTGGTGGATTCAAACTGCCGACCTTTTGGTTAGCAGCCAAACTCTTAACCACCTCACCACCAGGATTTCCAAAAATGTGAAGTTACTTTGAAACTGTATAGAGGTCTGTGAAGATTCTGAAGAGCATGTTAGAGAAAGCCTAAATTGTCGTGAACACATTGCTAGTAGATATCAGGTCTTTGAGGATGCTGCCTGTGGGCGCTCAAAAGGAAGAAAATGACATTGAAAATTGAAGGGTAGGGTATCCTTGTCATAAAGTTACAGAACGTTTAGCAATAATGATTTCTGCAGTGATGTGGAAAGGAGAAAATGTATATAATAAACTTGGTGATCTAGCTAGGAGTTCCTAAGCAATGTGTTGAGGGTGCCACCTGGATTCTTTTTGCTGCTTATAGTAAAGATTTGACCATTTTATTAATCCTTTCAAAGATCCAACTTTTGGTTTCGTTAATTCTCTCTATTGTTTTCTCTATTCTCTCTTCAGTTATCTGTGCTCTAATCTTCATTATTTTTATTCTTCTGCAAGATTTGGGCTTAGTTTGCTCATCTTTTTCTAGTTCCTCAAGATGTAAAGTTAGCTTATTAATTTGAGAACTCTCTCCTTTTTTAGTGTAGACATTTACCACAATAAATTTCCCTGTGACCACTGCCTTTGTTGCACCCCATAAATTTTTGTATGTTTTGCTTTCACTTCATTGGACTCTAAGAATTTCTGATTTCTTTTTTTATTTTTCTCCTGACCCATTGTTTAATAGTGTGTTATTTAATTTCTACACGTACGTGGATTTTTTAGTTTTCCTTCCATTATTAATTTCCAGTTTCAATGAGATCATGGTTGTCAGAGAACATACTTTGTATGATTTCAATCTTTTTAAATTTATGGAGACTTGCTTTGTGACACAATATAGGGCCTATTGTTGAAAATGATCTATGTGTACTGGAGAAGAATATGTATTCTACTGTTGTTGGGTGAAGTGTTCTAGAAGTGGCTATTATGTCCAGTTTGTTTATACTGTTGTTCAAGTCCTCTATTTCTTTATTCATCTCTATCTAAATTTTCTATCCATTATTGAAAGTGGCTTATTGAAGTCTTCAACTATTATTGTAGAACTGCCTATTCCTTTCTTCAGTTCTGTCAGTGTTTGCTTCATACATTTTCGGGACTTTGGTGTTAAAAGCACACATATTTATCATTGTTATTTTCTTGAGGAATTGACCCTTTTATCATTATACGATGTCCTTCTTTGTCTTTTGTAACACATTTTTGACTTAAAGTCTGTTTTGTCTGATATTAATATAGCCATTTTAGCTTTCCTTTGGTTACTATGTGGGTAATATATTTTTTTCCATCCTTTTGCTTTCAACCTAATTTTGTATTGGGATGTAAACAAAATCCCATGTAGTTGGACCATATAGTTGGATCATATTTGCTTATCCAATTTTCCAATCCCTGCTTTTGATTGCAGAGTTTAATCTATTTATATTTAAAGTAATTACCGATAAGGAAGGACTTGTTTTTGCCATTTTTGTTGCTTGTTTTTTGTGTGTCTTGCACTTTTTTTGGTCCATCATTTCCTCCTATACAGCATTCTTTTAGATTTAGTTTTATTTTTTATTTTTTGTAGTGAGTCATTTTCTTCTTATTTCCTTTTGTGTATATATTTTTAAATATTTTCTTTGTCGGTACCATGGAAGTTACATTTAACATGCTAAATTTATAACAATTTAAATTGATTCCAGCTTAACTTCAGTAGTATACGAAACTGTTTCTATAGAGCCATTCCCATCTTTTATGTTGTTGTTGCCACAAATTACATCTTTATAAATTGTACGTGCAGTAATGTAAATTATTTATTATTTTTAATACGTTCGTGTTTACACCATGTTGTTGTTGTTGTTAGGCGCCGTTGAGTTGGTTCCAACCCATAGCGATCTTATGTACAAAGATACGAAACACTGCCAGCTCGCGCACCATCCTTATGATCTTTGCTATGCTTAAGCCATCATTGCAGCCACTGTCTCTACCCATCTCACTGAGGGACTTCCTCTTCCTCACTGACCCTCTACTTTACCAAGCATGATGTCCTTCTTGAGGGACTGATCCCTACTGAAAACATGTCCAAAGTATGTGAGAGGAAGCCTCTCCATCTTTGCTTCCAAGAATCACTCTGACTGCCCTTCTTCTGAGACAGATTTGTTTGTTCTTTGGCAGTCCATAGTATATTCAATATTCTTTGCCAGCACCATAAT